TGCTATGAAAAAAAAAACCCAACTTAGTGCCTTTGTGGTAGGGGAGAAAAGGAAAAGATATTTTGTAAGTCTGGCTAATAGTTGAAGAATCATGTAAAAAGAAGGGGGGGGGGGAACCCAAACCAAACCAAAAACATTGCACTCAGAAAACAAATGAAGAAAAATACGTTCTATGCTTGAAGACTGCACTGAGCAGACTGTTCTGTAATAGGAGACAAACAGGCACAAACAGTGGAAGGCAAAAAAGTTATGAGAGAAGTGTAGGAGAACTTCTTGCATCTTTATCTGTACTTCATAAAATGTCCAGATACAGCAAACACTTATAACACATAATGGTTCTTTTAAAGTGCCTGGCATAGTGTGGTCTCTGAATTTCAAAGTTCGGCGTTTTTAATGTTTTACCCTGAGCTTGTAGGTTTAGCATTGACAGGCTCTCGTGACCTGCAGGTTTTTTATCTGCATCAAAAATGTAACTTGGACAAACTGTGCTGCATAATGCAGTCACCGTCATGAAAAGTGTGATTGTTCGTGTAGTGTGTTTAGAACAGGCATTTAGCTGCTGTGATAATAAGCACTGTACAATCAGCAAAACGGTGTAGCCACGCTCTGTGTGCCTTTCAAATCGAACAAAATGCACATCTGAATTGAGACCGAAATAGCAACTTTAGTTATAACTACAGTACAAATGATTCATGGAGGTGGCTGAGGAAGACTTTCAGAGTTGTCAAGCTGAAAACTTGGCTCTCCTCTTAGAGGGGCTTCTAATGCATTGTGGCAGAAGCGGGTTTCACTGGTCTGGAGAAGTGGCACAGGAACTGCAGTGTGTCTCCTTAATGCTGTGTGGTTTGGGTTTAGGACCTGCTGTCTGCCAGTTTAAATGTACTGCTGCAGTGTACTACATGTCATGTAATAGCCCACCATTACATTGGTTACATTCAGCCTTCTCGGGTGTCTTGGGACCACTATTAAACTATTCTAAATGTGCATTTTTCAAAATGTAAATATAAATGCAGAGGGATTTTTTTATTAGGGTTTGTCATTAGATTAATGAATTATTAACTCTATAGGACAGGTTTTGGTTTCTTACTGATGGGGATTTTAACCAGTGTATATATGCATGCCTCCATCAGTACCCCAGGTTCTTGAATGCTAGATGAACACAGCAGTTCCTGAGATGTCTTACCTTCCTCATGCCCAGTGAAGGAGCAAGCCTTCTCCTGGGAGCACAGCTCTGCACTGCTGTCACTTAAGAATCTGCAAACACAGAACCAACCCAGGGACTGGCTCCTTAATCACCTTAATCTGATTTCACTGCAGGCTGCTGCCAAAAGGCGGGTGGCACCCTGCCCGGTGCCTGCGACTGCGTATTCCAGCTTCTGTTCCTGTGAAGCAAGTACAGGATTTCACCTCTATATCTCTGCATTTGGGAAGGGTTGATGTAAGGCATCAATGAAAATTGTCCTGAAGTAGAAATTTCTGCTGTATTTATCTTCAGTAATTCTTATTCTGCTGATCTTTCAGTTCATTCAAATCTGTATTCATTACAGATAACAACTGTACTATTCTATTCAAACTCAGTCTTGAGCTGGGAGTGCCAGTAATGTTAAATTCTGTAGAAATGGGACTTGAAGTGCAGTCTACAAAGTTATTTTCCTTCACAGCAAGTTCAGATTTTACATCTGTGCTTCCATATGTCATTGATTTCTACCATACATCTTTATTTACCATTGCATTAAAAAATACTGGTAGCTAAGTGTGAACACTGGGAGGCTTTTAATGAAGAACTTGATGATTCTGGGGAATTAGGAAAGCAGTTGGAAGTAGGTCTGCTTTGCTGGGAGCATGAAGCATGCCTAGATTGTGCAGCTTCATGAGTCTCTCTTTTTATGGACTCAGTGAGTTTCCTCCATCCATAGAACTGCCAAGAAAGATCTTATATTGTAGGATACTTGAATAGATCCTAATGGGATTCAAATCACATTTAAATTTTAATATTATAAAATGTCAAGAATGAAATCTAAGGAGAATTATGGGAACAATTAGATTAGTTGATACACTGCTTTGACCTGGGAGGACGTACACTGTCATTCTTCATTGTGCTGTAAGTTTATAGCTAAAAGATCACTACAGTCTTTGAGACTTTAGAAGTATTTTGAACATCTAATGTCTGTTTCGAGGGTTTGTAAATGATCTGAAAGCTCCCTGGTTGTGACACTTGGAAGCATTGGTCAGTTGTTGGTGAAATCAGTGTCAGTACAGATAAAGTTTCACCACCACCCCACTCCCAGTTGTGTATGAAACACAGTGGAGTGGCTTGAGGTACGTGTTTAGCAAAAACATAGTAAAGGGTAATCGGTAAAGGAGCAGCAAACATCTCCTTTCTTGCCCCTTTATATCATGCAGTGGCAGAACTTTGACAGTCTCCTGTGTGAACGCAGATGGTGGTGGTGGTGTTCTGGTGTTGACGTCAAAGTATTAATCTGATATTCTGTTGAAAAAGGCATCAATCTCTGCCACTGCATAGAAAGAGAGTAGGATACTATGAGAGTGTAGATTGGTATTATCTCTTTCTCGCCTCTTTCTTTGCATATGAGAACATCATTTATTTGTGTCAAAGAACAGGTCCTCTCTCGTAGATCACACCAGGTTGAAAAGTGAATAATTCGTTTGTTCTACGTTAAAGCAGAGGAAGGACTAGTTCTGCTATGTTGTGGCCTTGGCTGGGTGAAAGGGGATGGGGATTGTTGAGGCACATTGCACTGGGACACAAACATAACTTTAAATGTCACTTCAAGGTAAGTAAGAAGAGTTTCCTGGAAGTTTTAGAGCAGAAATAAAATGTTCTCAGGAGGAACTGGCTTTTATTTGACACAGGGCCCTACAAGGAGTGGCTTGCTTTGGCAGTGGTAGCACAGTTTTACTGACAACTTGTGTATAACTGAACTTGTAACTGTGGCTCTTTATATTTTGCTTTGATAAGTAAAGTCTTCTTTGCATAGTGTCTGGTTTTACCAGAGTCTGATGGCGTATATGCTGAGGCGTTGCTATTCAGCCTATATTTAACAAAATAGCTGAGATACTATCCGAAAGTAGGAATAATCACGGGGATGCTGTCATGTGCTGGTGGGAGGAGGGTTCTGAGTGTAGCTCCGCTGTAGGAGAACACTTTACTATTTGTTTTTCAAAGCAAGGGAATAAGCAGCCTGAGCAGATTGCACGAAGTCTGACTTAGGAGCAATGCTGAGTGAAGAGTTCTGCTCAAAGAAGGAAATATATTTTAACTGATGTTGTGGTTTAACCACAACCTGCCACTATGCAGCACCCAGTCACTTGCTCGCTTCCCCCGTGGCGGG